GATAGCTCAGACATACCACGAAAATTGTTTGAGTTTCAAGACGGTTATCGCTCAGAAGTGCCAAAATTAGGAGTGAGGCTCCTGATACCCTTATCATGGGACAAAGGTGTTTTGATTATTAGTTTACAAATTTAGCAACTGCCTGCGATGAACCAATAACAGCATTGATGAAAATTTTTACTTTTCATTAAGTTGTTGACATTACGGATACATATAACGCAACACTAATTTAAACCGCAGTTCTTGTTTTAATTACGTTCGTAAGCAAAAACATCGCTACAAGTTTTTCGTCATTCTCTTTGGTACATGGGAAAAGTTAGACTTGTGGGACAGACATTAATTTTAACTGAAAGATAAAGCGCAAGAAATTTTTGTTTCACAGTGTTGAAATTATTAGTATTTGTCGTGGATTTCAATTTTAACATCGTCAAATACAGTGTTTTCAAATAGCATCGTGTAAATACTTCCTCAGGAGAAGCTTATGAAGGGCAAGTCAAAGCAGTTAGTGTGAACAATCACTTCTCTGATGACCTCACGTACATCCGACATTTAATATTCTTATTCTTATTATTATGCGAAATTAAATTTGGTTTTATCATTAACTTGTTTGTGGGATTTCCAGTTTTTTCTTGGCGTTTAATCCATGAATTAATTGGTAAATATTTCCAAGAACTGGAATTAATTTCAATCACTTTTTGAGGATTTAAATTATTGTGAACAGAAGAATTCCAAAGTGTTTTGCTCCTATAGAGGTTATTTAACCTATAGAGAAATATTCATCTCAACTTTTTGTAAATAAAGTTCTTCAACAAACGGTGAATGCAAACATGTATTTCTAAATCTCCCATATCAGATGTTACATGGTAAAGTCATTTTCAGAAGAAGCTTAATTAATAATACTACCTTCAAAAAATTAAAAAGAAAATTACCTACTTTGTACTGACGTTTGTTTACTTCAACTTCAAAACAAGCATATTGGAGAAAACTTGTTTTTTTTCTATTTTTTTAAACAATTTTTATCACAGAAATCAAGCTTGTTGTTACGAACTCACAAGGAGTAGACATTTTGACCATTACGGACGACGAAGATCGTCGTCAGTAAGAGATTAGAGACCACCCTAAATCACCGTAAATTTGTTAAATTTTCAGCGCATTTAAGAGACGCTACTCTTATTGAGTGACTAAGACAGAATTTCTCTTTACAATATCAATACAATATCAAGCAGATAAGAGATGAGAATAAAGAAAAGTATAAATTGGGGAATTTTCATAAGAATTTTATGTCAGAGAGTAAGTAGAATCACTAAATGAGATCTTGGGAGTTACAGGGTTGCACACATTCTCGGGTCTGCACTAACAGCCTTCATGCAATAAAATAAGTAGCTCGAGATTTTTTAAGATAAAACAGTGTCTTGAACGCAATTTGAAGGAGCAAAATCTGAAAGCACCTCAGGGAAGGCCGTTTTAAATGTTTTTTTGGACAGACCAAACGTCAGTTTGGTAAAAGCGGTTTTCCTTTGCAAAAAGGAAAATTCAGCTTTATCGGAGCATACGTGCCTAACTAACCATACAATTGGGTGGGATAATTCTAAAATTATCACTACTAATCGGCGTTACCACCGGCGCCTTCGTTTGGAGGCTTGGCATATTAACTCCGCCCACGCTCCTTTAAATCGTGACGATGGCGGCTTGCTTCCTGACGCCTATTTACACCTCGTCAGAAAAAAGGCCGCTAATTAGTGATCCTATAAAAGGACTTCTTGTTGCAGCGTTTAGGTCACCCCCTGATGAAGGCACTAGACAGGAGTGTCGAAACGTTGGGTCTATGAATTGTAACTTCTTCGGTTACATTCATTAAATCTGCAAACCAGAGTAGCATCAAACTATGTCTGATTGTCCACCTGGTTACCGTGTGAACTTTAATATACCTTGTAAATTTATTTGCGTCCTTTGCAAAATAACAACGTGGAGTGACCAAATTTTGCGCTGTCTGGGTAACGTGAACGACGACGGCTAGTTTTTTCAAATTCCTATTTCTAATTCAACGCTGTGTTCCATATTCAGTTTCGAGATAGTTTTGACAATGAGAAACAAACTAAATGACTTTACAGTATCGCAAGACTCATAGGTAAAATATAAGTTCATTTTTTAAACCAACGTTATCCACGGCGTCGCTGGCGTCGTTGCTTTTACTCCATATTCACGAAACGAGACCCCCCATGAAACAAAGAACACACACCATACCAGTCTTGTAATAATTTCATTGAAAATATCAACATTATTCAATAAAATAAAATTATTCTTTATTATTTCAAGTAGACTACGAGCAGTCCATCAATTTTGGAGCAGTTCGTCGCGCGAGTCAAAAAATTCAGTGAAAAAAAGAAGATCGATGGTAGCGCGCCACGCGGAACTCTGTGCATAGCGTTGCGTGCTCCTAGGAGTTCTACGCGACGCGCAAACATTCATTTGTTTTTTTCGCCGATTTTCTATTGACTCGCGTGACGGACTTAGCCGAAAAGGAGGGACCGCTCGTGATCAAATTCACCGTACTATAAATAGACAAATAACAAGCGAAGGAGAAGGCAATTATTTGATGACTGAACTCAGTAACTCTATGGGCCCTTAGTGTTATATAGCAGCAGTAAATGCCACGTGTACATCATCAAACACTGGAAGACCCTTTTTTTCAAAATGGCGGTTGAACACCGAAACTTTTCAAAGTTCGAGTTAAGATGATTTTACCGTCACTGTCTCGAAGACATGACGTTACAAAGCCACAGAGAGATTTAAAATCTCCCTCTTTAAGCCATCAGACCTTTTGGCAGCTATGTAATTTCTTATCTAACGAATTGTGGAATGTTAACCGACTTCCAATCGCTTATCCCTGGAACAAATTTCCGTCCGAATAGCCTTTTAACCCGAGAACGAAATTGCAAAGTTGCAAACTATTGCAAACTCAATTACTGATTATAACTTCTTCAAGCACAGGAAACTAACCTCTTAGTTAGCATTTAACTGATCCTGTGTTTAATCAAACTGAACAACTGAGAATTCGACAAAAACTTTATAACAGATATACACAATAGTTCAAATCTTAAAAATAAAGTATGAAAACCTTCCTTAATTCATATTGTTGGAGTTTCGTTCAATAGTTTGTTATCCTTTAACCCCTAAGAGTGACTAACTTCTAATTTCTCCCAACAGTATCGGCCTTGAATCAACTATAAAGGTCACGAGAATAATAAAAATGATCACCAATACAAGAAATTCTCCTTGTCAGTGTTATTGGAAATTTAAGAGAACAGCGAGGAAAACACGAATACTAAAGAGTGTAGAGAATTAATCTAAATTGTTTTCCCGACGCAAACCACCGTTTAACTAACGTCAGTTTACTAAGTTGTTGAATTATCAGGATAACAAAGAGCAGAAATGTACATGCCAGCCATGAGAGGTAATATACAGTTGTTTCGGGCTAGAATGACTATACGAAGCGTGAAATAGTAGGCGACAATATCGAGAAGAATTATAAGATGCTAATATGATTTTAAGTAAGAAGCCGATCGCTAGAATACTTAGGCTGATTTCAGTGGCCATATTAAAATATTGCTTCTTCCCTTGAAAAGGATGCTGTCCATTTCAAGTCACGCATAGCTTAACATCTCACTGATAATCATTTGTAATCCTGGGTGGAGGGAAACGCTGCACGAGTAAAAAGCGTCTTGCACAAAACACCACCCAAAGTGCCGTTCAGAGCTCGAATCCAGACCTCTAGAAGCAGGCCACTGCCTCTCCAATTACTTAATACACCAGCTTAAAACAAGGCTTACAGCATTTTAGTGCGAAATCAAAGAAATTTTGTGCATAAATGTAAACCCGCACCCCATGAAAACCATAAAGCAAAGATGGGCTATCTTTTTTCGTAAATATGACTAATCAAAACGCATTAAATCAATCGCTTCGCGATAAACTTTAATTATTGTCGCCCACGGTTCCTCTGGCCGCCTCTTTTAGCAATTCCTATCTTGAAATTTGGCCCTACAAGTCTTTTTTTATATATTTATATATATGATCACCACTTCACGTGGCGTTAATAGAATATATACAACCTCATTTGACAGAAAAATAAAACGTGTATGTTAAGTTAAATATAAATAATTTGCCTTTTTTTTCTCATAAAGTTGATGCTACGTCTTGATTTTCCAAACCTGAAAAGAAAGTGAAAATGTGGAATTATTAGAAGAAGATTTCCTCCAGGGTAACGCGGGTCCTTCACAAGAAACCGCTCTTTGTAGAACACGAGAGGGATTAGCGCGCGATGGCAAGGCGTCCAGCAAGGTATCGACACCATATGATCACATGAACTTCAAACGTCACAATATCTCGAGTTACTGTTCGACCAATAAAGGATTGATATTTCATAAACAGAACACATGGAATAAATGTTCACTGAAGTAGAGTAAGGAAGGAGTAAGAAGAGATCAAAACAACAAGAATAGCTTACGACGGAGGAGTTTGAAAAGATTGCAAATTGACGAACTTGAAGAAAAACCGTAGGTTAGCCCCTTCATGGTCGTTCAAAATGGTTTTATCACTCTCATGCATCCATAACTTGATGAATCCATACTACCATTTATTTCATTTGTTTCCTTAAAAAAATGCGTTTTGAAGGGTGGTGGATATTGATTTTGTGTTAGATTACACAAGAGCGTCTTTGAGAGATCCTTTAATTTATTTTTGTCCCTTCTGTCACGATGACAAAAAATTCTAACTGACACCACTGAAATCTCCGTCAAGTTCAAGTGCAGGCTCTCTGATCACGATTGTCTGAAGGCTCTAATTAAATCAAGCACGATGCCCTCGAAAACTAAACATATTAAGGAGATAGGAAAAGTCGAAAAGATTTTAGTTCAAACTATTTACTTGCAAAAACTTGAGACAATTGAAAAAAAAAAAAAAAAAAAAAAAAAAAAAAAAAGAAAATAAAAACTAGGACGAAGCAGTGCTTTTTTACGAACCTTTAGTCTGAATCCAAGAAGATCTGACATGACTCCAGAAAACAAAGACAGCACAACTACCCTGGTGATGTTATAGAGCAAGGGGTTCATGGATAAACCAGACATCTTGAATGGGCTCTCAATTTCCTGATAAGCAAGCCAAACAACTAGTACGTTAGTACCCTTGCTTTCTCGTCACCATATTCCCACCAATAGCGTGGCACCATTTTCTGCATATAAACACACACACACACAACTCACAATTCCTCCATTCGCACTGACAAAGGGCTAACGCTCGAAACGTAAGCTTTGAAACTAAAAAATAACTTTTTGTGTTGTCTGCAGTAAACACTTATGTCCAGAAATGCACGCAGTAACGAAAATGGCAGATTTTACGAAATTTCGTCACACCGAGTGAATGTTAACAGATTTGAGGATTTTTGCGAATTTCAGTTAAATTCGTCAGAGCAAATCAACTTGGCGGATTTGACAATTTTGACGAATTTTCGCCATTTTCACTTTATGCATTTCTGGACATACCTCGCAGTAAAAGTTCTCTAAAAGATCGAAGTTAACACAAAAAAAACTGCCTCAAACGCCTACTCGTTGGATTCTTGCATCGAGCAATGAAGCAATTTTCAAATGAGTGTCGATGGTAATCTGGGATTGCATTTGTTTTGCTTCACTTCGCTTCGTGTTTTATTCATAAAACTCGCGCCTCTTTCTCATTAAGTTCTACGCTTCAAACAGCTTCCAAACAAGCTCCTTCTGTCTCTCGGTCTAATAGACACAAAATACAGTATTACCTTTAGTAGTTTCGAGGCCAACTTAAGCACATGGTTAGCTATTGTCAGATCGTCTTTTTTATGAGGAGCTTTTTCCATTTGAAGGTAAAGATTAATCTAAAGAGTATAGACACACAAAAAAAAGGGAAAAACGAGTAGTAACTAACCATTTCTCACTCCAGTAATGTTTAAAATCCGCCAAATTCACCAGCGGTGCAAAGAGTTTCTTAATTTCCGACAATATACCGACATATGTTCACTAGCTATTCAATTAAATGAGTGATTTACGAGACTAACAAAACTGCAAAAATTCTGGAATAACTTTGGGAAATACTATGGCAAAATATCTTCGTTTATCTTAAAATCTTCGACTTTATTACACCACTTATTATCTTTTCTGATCCAAGCAGTATGCAGGACAAGTGTTACAAAAGTAATAGCCTCGCTAACCATAAAGAGTCTCTGCGACACCGTAAAAAAAGCCGTCTCCAATCACTTAATGAGCTCAAAATTTACCATCCTTATTATTCTTTATACGAACACTTTTAAATAATTTACTCACCTGCTCCGTTAGTAGTCCCGAAGTGTTCGTAAATTTACTGTTGATCTTGGATCCTAACGTCATGAACCGCAGAACATAGACAGATAAAACAAGGCACCTTAAAGCAAAACAAGTAAACAACCAGGTACGATCAGTACCAATTTGGTTAAGTAACGAAGTCTTCACTTGGTTAAACACATTAAATGTAAGTTGTTAAATGACTAAGGAAAGGCCCCGCGAAACGAGGACCCGATTCGATGATCGTGATCACGAGTACGATTTCTTATCGAACTGGACGACAAGAAGTCCTGTTACCAATTGACTACAGTCATTACAGTTTCCGAGAAAAGCAAATGATAGGGTTGAGGATATTTTCAAAAGAGACTACAAATTGCACTTGTCGTATAGGCTCGTGCAATTTGGATTCTTTGAAAAATTTACATGTGCTTATTACGCCAAATTGCAAGAGAAATCACGTTATTACTTGTTAATAATGTACATGAAAAACATCACAGAGAGTCAAGACAGACGAGCCTGTACGCTTTTTGTAATTTGCACCCGTGTTACAACTTTGCACTCGTGTTACATCAGAATACACTCGTTTTCAGCCAATCAAAAGCGCGTGATAAGATAATTATACAGATACCTCGGTCATTTGTGGCTTTCTAGGACAGACTGTTTTGACTGACTAACAGACAGACACACGGACAGACGGAATGACTGTCTAATCGACTGATAAACAAATACATAACTGATAGGATTTACGAATGATTGATGGGATGACTAGCTGTGAAGTTTAGCAGATTAACTTCTGACTAGTTGATTAATTCAATAGATACAAAAAAAGGTATAAACCGATAAATATTGTTTGATTAGCTCCAATGATACACATGCTGTTTAGTGACTAGGATTTCCATCAAATGGCAGATGAATGAGGGGATGGACCGAGCGATCGATAGAAGAAATTGGCTGACTGATCGCTCGAATGATGACCCAGTAACACATTTATTAATCAACTCTCTCATGAACCACCGACTGGATTGACTGATTGTTTGCTGGTCTGAATGATTCACATATTTATTAATTTACAACTACCTCTGACCACTTACCATATTGACACCTCCCAGTTAAATAATATCGACAGAAACCTCTCTTTTTCATTTCCCTTTATAAGCTGCCAAGAGAAAAGAATTTTAATAACGTTTTGGCAGGCACAGGAACAAATTCCAATGAACACAAGGTGTACATGTATCTAACTTTAAAGTTTTAATATTTCAAGACAGGGAGGACGTGGCTCTGACTCACCTGTACACACATGAGAATTACTAGAACCATGCCCAGTATAAAGGATGATGACACAATCATGTCAACAGATCTCTGAGGACCTCGTCTCTGAATTCAAAGAAAATTATTACATGTTTATAATGGACATGAAAAAACATCACAGAAAGTCAAGACAGATGAAATTTTGAAAGCGTGTGCGCGCCATTTGAAGTTTGCACTCGTGTTACACGAGAATGCAGCCAATCAGAAGCGCGTAATTTTTTCATGTAGATTATTGACGCAGCTTAACCGTTACAGAGTGTTAGCTAACCTTTAACAGGGATCTTAGCGACAGCCAGGTCTTTATGTTCCGTACTTTGTGGAGACGAAAGTGAGGGAGCCCCGCACGGCGAGACTTCCGCGACGATGTTAGCCATCCAAATAACTTTGCGTACAGACATCGCTGGAATCATTATACGGAACAGCATTGTCAGAATAAAACCCAAACGAGGTAGACAGGGAAATGCACAAAATATTTACTTATTTCAGGACCGAGTGCAAAAATCTACCATTCTAATTTATGTCCAGACAAGGCACTTTCGAATTACTTATCCTGAAAGCATGCAATAATAGCCGACGGGCACGCACTTATTATTAGTTCTTCGGCACCAGTCTTTCTTCGCAAGTATGGGGCCTTTAGAAACGCGAACCGGTGAGAGGTTTGGAACGAGTCTAGCACTGATTATAATTAGTTCCAGACTCTTAGCAAACCTCTCTCCGACCTGTCCCAAATCTTGAGCGCTAACAATGAAGGCCTGGTCTCAAGCTAAGGATAAATCATATACCCAAACTCTGTAACAAGCTCTCTGTAGATCTACTGATAGACCATTCAAACACTGTGATGAGATGAATTGGCTGGCGTTCGAACCCAGAAAATTTTTTTAATCCATTTGTAGACCCATCTTAAACTTGGCGCGCATCTTTTCAGCTCTGCCCCCTCAGAGCAACTTAACCCTTTAAACCCTAAGAGTGACCAGCATCTAATTTCTCCTTACAATATCACCCCTTAATCACACATTAAGATCATGAGAATTAAGGAAATGATTTCCAACAAAAGAAGCTTTTGATCAGTAAAACAAAATCTCCCCGTCAGCACCTCAGGAAATGTATAAAAACAGTATGGAGAATACGCATATTGACATCAGGGTGTAAAGGGTTAATACTTTTAAGAGAAAAAAGGAAATGAAGTACAATTTCAAGTGTTGAAAATCTTTCACCTTACACCCGTTTCGCTCACCTCTCTGTAGGATTTTTCTGCGACGCACAGCAGAAAGAAGAAGGAGAAACTCAAGAAAAACCTCTCCAGCATGCTAATAACAACAATGACACGTGACCTTCGAGACAGACGGAATAAAAATATTAAGAAACGTTAGTTCTGAGAGAATTTCAAAGCTTTGTAGCATAAAAAGTGGAAAATACGTAAAAGAACTTTACATACCATGATGAATATCCAAACATTTTACACAAGAGATCTTCACTGTTGCTAATCAAAAGGTCTCCAATAGTTCCCTTCAGACAAGGAAAAAGAAAATTAGTTGGTAATTAACAGCGGTATGATTTAACAGTTTATCTGACTAAAAAATAAATACATAGACAAATAAATAAATAAAATCAATAGAAATTCTGATGGATGCAAAAATGAAAAAAGGAAACGGTTCACTGACATATATAACTGGCTGATTGTCCTCCCAAATGACTGAGATAGGCTGTTTGTCTAACTGACTGATTGACAGACTTACTGACACTGACTGACTGGTTGACTGTCTATCTCGCTAAAAAGGGATCTAGTTAAGTGACTGTCTGGCTAATTAAGTGTTTATTAACATAGTAATAAGCAAGTTATCATACGACCATAGCTCTTTCCTTTTTCTCCCTCACTTCTCTTGGCTTAGTACCACTCTCGCACAAGGATCTTTGTCGAATGTTTTACAGTAAAAACACGAATGGGGCTGTATGGGTCATATTTAAAACGTGAGTATATTAGGACTGTGAATTTGTGACTATAGCATGCACACGAGTTAAAATCTTTTCGTTTGCTTTTTGTCTCCATTATTGGTGTAAATATTTATCGTTGCGTTTTTTGTCTTGGATTAGTTTTTTCTTGTCTCTTGGCTGTTGATTATTTTTTTGGGTCACCCGTATTTCCTAATTTGCGACTCATTATACGTCATCGTGTCTCGTCAATTTAATTTGTCCTATTGAGGACAAACTAGCTGAGGATCTGACAAATTGACTGAACAACTGTTAATCTGTCTAAATGATTCCCAGTGACTTGTCTGTGAAGGTACCGTAAACCAAGTGGACAAAGTAACACTGAACTATAACTTTACTGTAACAATTCATGATAGCAGACTCACTGTTGTGTTGTAGAGACGGAAAAGAAGAGGAATAAATGCAAGGGTCATAGAGACAACAACAGAAAACTGCACATAACCCGTGTGGCTTTTATGAGAGTCCTACAAAGGAGAAAAAAATAAAAGTACAATTTAAATTTTCAATAAAATCTTTTAATGACCAGGATGCCGGATTCTGCTGCAGCACCATACAGACGTTACGCTCCAAACCACCCCATAACAACATAAATGCACAGCCAACAGTAATTGGAAAATACAAATCGTACACTGTAATAACCAGCCATATCTAAAGATGTTTGGAAGAGATTGACCCAAATATTTCCTCATTTAACCCTTTAACTCCCAAGATCTGATTGTTAACTCTCCCCTCCAGCTGCTAAACATTTCCTTGTAAATTAGTTACAAGAATTTGGTGTTAGATCAAGATAACAACTTTCACCTGATACATTTGAGTATTCTCGTTACCTGTTTGCTGGATAGTTCATGGATATTGTAAGGGGAATTTACTTATTAATCACTTCTGGGAGTTGAAGGGTTAATCACGACAGATCAGTTCTAAATAAACGGGGAAGAGGGGCAATCAATGGCTAGGATTTCGTAGCAAATCAAGAAGTATAACCGCTGTCTACACATGATACGAAATGAAACAACTAAAATGTAAAAAAAGAAAAAAACGTGACTTACCACTTTGTTGGCAATAGCAGCACTAATCTCCATGAGTGTCAACTGGGCTTTTTTGCATTGATTTCCTTCCCAAATAGAAACCATAACTAGCAAAAAAATGACAAGATTAACACTCCAAACCCTAACATCAGCATGTACATTCTCCATACTGTCCTATACATTTCCTAAGCTGCTGACAAGGAGAATTTGTTTAACAATCAGGAGCATCTTAAGTTGGTGATCAGTTCTTAATTCTTGTGACCTTAATATGTGTGATTCAGGTGTGATTTTGTAAGGAGAAATTAGATTATAGTCACTCTTAACGTGTTAATGGTTAGTATACATATTAAATTGTTTACCACATGTACAAGTACATGTACGTACAGTAAAGATATACAATGTGGTAGTAAATATATGAGGTTATCATGAAAACAGCAACTAAGTCACAAGGACAAGACTACAAAGACTTTGTAGGCATATTTCTGTGTGATATGGATTATTATCCTTGATTCTTGATAGTTTTGAGTACCAAGGATTGAGTTTCAAGTCAAGACTGTCGACTTAGTTTTGAGTGGCACTGTAGTAACAGGAAAGGAAAGGTTGATGAAGATGCCAAATATTCAATATGTCTGTCTTTCAGGAAGTGAGGTTATTTTAACATTGAGTTCTTATCACTTCTGTTGGATTCTTTCATCTCTTAATTCCTTTTCCCTTCAAAAAAATTGCTCTACTGGCTACAGTATAAGAAAAGATGTATGTGTACTTACCCTTCTCTGCAGTGGGTGGGGGTGTTGGGCTGGTTTGCATTCCTGGAGATCCATTACCCTTTGATGTATATAATATACATTAGTATATCATTTATTAGCATAATTATACTAAAACCATTGGTAGTGTTAAAGGCACCCTCTGATTGGCTACTCAAACTCCAAGTATCCTTTGTAATTCACCTCCAAGCAACAACAACACTGTTGTAATCATTGCAGGAATAAATGGGTTACGATCATCTTTTCATGTTATATTATCTCACTGTTTTGGTACATATTAAAAAAAAACTTATCCCCTCAGTATTGGTGGCTAGCGGTGAATAATACCTTGATGTTTTGCAGCATGGTATATTTCCTCCACTAGCCATCCCCACTTTGATAAATAGCTATTAAAGAGTGTTAAAATACATTGCAGCTTTGCAAGAATAGTCCAATTTTAGGAACTGGGCCCACAGTGTCCATGAACTGAACACAGATCTTTAATCACTATGTTAAACTAAATTTTTACAAGGGGCTATAACCCTTGAATCTAGCTGATTAGACATTTCAACGAAGGGATATCTTGTTTAATGAAAGTCAAGTATTTCTGAAACACAGTTTGCATTTTTAGACTCAAGCTGAAGGGACTTCCAAGAAAGAACTTTCTTGCTGAAAAAATAAAGTAATTCCAACAAAAATTGTATCACTAAAATTTCTACACACCTGTTTATCCCAAGCAAAGGGATCCTCACTATTACTGTCCATTTCAACATCAGACACATCACTTTCTGTGGTTGACGAGGTTGTTTCTCCACTTTCACTCAGTTCTTCTTCTGTTTTATCATTGTCATTGTCTTTTGAATTGTAATGATTTGAATTCTCCACAGTTTCTATGTTATCCTTGACGTTAAAGTCTGGGAACAAATGAAATATTCAAAATTAGTCTGTCTGGTAACATGTCCCCTTGTTTAAAAAAAAAAATTGTCACCATTTGCAGGCTCTTTTTCCCTTGCCAGTACAAATCCGAGTGTATGAAAGAAGCTGTAGATGCAATGTGTACTATACAGCAGCAATCTGAGTGATCAGGGTAAAGAGAGTTCTAAAACTCCTGTGATAAATTTTGACTAGGAGAAACTTTTACAAGGAATCTGACTGGCTGAAAGATATTTTAATCAGCAATTAAGCTTAGTTTTAGAAAGTTGACAAATTCTGTCCATTTTCCACAACTTTTTATGGGACAGTATGACTTTTAACTGAGAAGAGCACAAAATAAAAACAAAGCAAAAAGATTTCACAAAATAATGTATACTGTTATATACCAGGTGACAAGTTTGTGGACTTCCTCTGTCGTATTCCATTTGTAACAATGCTATCATGTGCCATTCCATTTTCTTGTGTGCTGCTCTTTCTCTTCTGTCTGGCAGCTCTTCGTCTAAAGTAAATATAAATAACTACTTTTAGAAAACATCAAAAAGACAGAGGAAGTAGGGAAGTGCAAATTGCTAAGAATGAAAGGATTGACTTCTTTACTTTGAATATCGTAAACAAATATATGCAAATGACTGAACATTAGTATCTTCATGTGAGGACAAGTAAGAATCTTGGATAGAAAAAAAATGTCAAAATCTTATGCAATTAAAACAAGGACTCCAGCCGATAATGCAAATCACTAGTTGACTATGCTAATATTGACAAAAAAAATATTGTTCCTAGATTACATTAAGGATAATTAATTCTTTGAAAATAACATTTTTAAACCTAACACTTTAAATGCATTTGAGCAATTTTTGAGACCATTGAAATACACATGTAACTACCAATAACTTGGTTTTGTATTTTGTTTAAAACAGGAGTTCTTAGCTTCTCCACAAAGGTCCAGGAGAGAGACCCTTAGGGGTTAACCCTTTTAACTGCACAAGTGATTAACATGTTACTTCTCCTTATAATATCCAGACATAATTCTGCAAACAGGTAATGAGAATACTCAAACTAATCAGGTAGAGGTTATTACCTTGATCTAACACCAAGTTCTTGAAACTAATTTATAAGGAAATATGTACCAGCTAGAGGGGAGAATTAACAATGAATAAATCATATCTGGGGAGTTAAAGTGTTCAGTGGTTAATGAAGGAAACAGATTCAAAGGTCACAGGAGCTTTTATTTAATAAGGTCTACTCCAGCATTTGTGTCCCTTGCACAGAAGTGTCCCATGAGGGAGATTCTACAACAATTATTCTTCAAAACTAAATTTTTTTCATACCTCCTATTGAGACTTTTAGCCTTCCTTCTTTGAGATGAGCTTGAATAGTCAGTTGACACCATGTACATGTAGAGCACACCCAGCAAAACCATGATCTACAAAAAAGATATTTTCTTCATTTAAACATACCTTTTTTTTTTCTTTGGAAGTTTGCACGACCCTGTCAAGGTTTTTGGTTAGCCTATTCCAAGTATTTAGTGAGTAAAATGAAGTGTGATGGCAAACAATCCAATGATGGTAGAGGATTGAAGAAAATGAGGGAGGTTTGGTTCATTTATTTTGTTCTACTATTACTATTGTGCTGTTTAGTCATTGGCTCTGTTTTATAAACTGAATGCCTGGCTATGACAGGGTTAATGTGTATACTTTGGTTCACTTTTTAGGGGATTGAGAAAATTTTTTAAGCCTGTGTAATTTAGTTCTAGTTTTTCTTGTATTCACTGTAATGATCTAGAACAAAGGAAAATAAAATTTGAACTGCTTTGATAAATTATGATCCAAGAATAAACCTGAACCCCTTAAGATTTATAAGGATTTGACAATGACAAATATGCAATGAATTTGACAGAATTTTCCTTATGTTTAAAAATCCCATCACTGATGGGATAGTTAAATTTGCTCCAACCATCTGTACTAAATGCAATAAGACCTAACAATTTAAAACATAATTCAGGCTAAGTTAGGTGTTATTGAATTAAGCAAAACTTCTTACCAGAGCTGGTCCACATGCTTCTGACCAAGTGACGACCTAAAGGGAAAAATGACTCAGTCATGAGGTAGTCAAAGCAACACAAGCTTCATTAAAGCAATAGACTGCATTTTCCGTCAGTTTACCAGCATAATAACCCATGCGGGACATTGGGAGTTTGGAAATCACTTGCCTCTGGCTCACAATTTCTAAAGGCAAAATTGTGAAGTATAATTTATCTGAATAGTATATCTGAGCTCTGTGCTTGATCCACATACCTTCCAATGGGATTCCCATTTTCTTAAGTAAACAAATAGCACCAAAACTTCACAAAAATAAAGAAATAGAAACAGGAACCATAGCTTAGGGGATAACTGTTGTGTCCACCTATAAAAACAAAAACAAAATCAGTTCAGTTATGAACCCTGTACATCCTAACATTAGTATGCTTGTTCTTCATAATGTTGCTCTCAAATTTCTTAAGGGGCTGACAAGGAGAATTTATTTAACAATCAAGAGCTTCTTGTCCTTACTCTTGGGACCTTAATATCTGATTCAAGGGCAATATTATAGGGAGAAATTAGATGCTAGTCAGTCTCTTAAGGTTAACTGAGTAAGGTGGAGCTCTAGTTTGTGCCAGTGCTGTGCACATGTGCCTCCATTTCCTTGTCCTCCAAAGCAGTTTTCAGTTCCTCAGCTGTCACCAACAAAGGATGGCTTTTCTGCTTTTCTGCATAATTCTTTGTGACCTGTTAACCCTTTAACTCCCAGATCAAATTTGAAATTCTCCTTACCGTCAACCATACAATTCTTATAATGTTCGTTCCGAGAATTTAGTATTGGATCAACTAATTATTCCTAAATTGATATTTTTCTTTATTCTCATCGCTCATCTGGTTGATATTGTATTGATATTGTAAGGAGAAATTCTGTCTTGATCACTCATGGGAGTTAAAGGGTTAAAGGAAGTCTCTACTACTAGAACAAGTTACCACAAACCCTTTGATCCCAAAGAGTGACTAGCATCTAATTTCTCCTTACATTGTCACTCCTGAATTAAACATTAAGGTCATGAGAATAAAGGAAATGATCAGACCAACTGAAGAAGCTCTTGACTATTAGGTAGATTCTCCTTATCTGCTCCTTAGAAATGTATAGAGAACAGTATGGAGAATATGCATACTGATGTTAGGGTGTAAGGAGTTAACCTTTTGACTCCCAGATCAAATTTGAAATTCTCCTTACTGTCAACCATACAATTCATATGATGTTTGTTCAGAGAATTTAGTATTGGATCAACTAATTATCCCCAAATTGATATTTTTCTCTTATTCTCATCACTTATCTGTTTGATATTGTATTGATATTCTAAGGAGAAATTCTGTCTTGGTCACTCATGGGAGTTAAAGGGTTAAACTGACAAATTTCTTCTAACTTACAAGAAATTCCTTCAATCAGTAGAAATAGGCAACAAGCACCAAATGTAACAAATATTGGTAACAAATACAAGCAATATTGATGTTTGAATTTATCACTAACTGCCTTATAGCAAAGCTTTCAAAATGTTTCATAGTGGCATAATGGACTCTGCAAAATTATGTAACTGAGAAATGTTCATTAAGCTGCCAAAAGGTAATTATTTTGACCAGAGTAACCAACAGCATGTCATCAAGTAGCTGGCAGAACTCTGGTGGTAGCCAGTTTGGTTTGGAACCCCTGTATAGGCTCACATGACCTTATACAGTTTCCACAGTACTATATTAAATTAAACATGTAATAGCTATTTTGATCACAAGAGTCCTACAGCAACATGAAGATAGCAGTGGCAACTGTGAAATTTCACAGAGTCCTACATGGCAGAAGGCACAAAATTTCAATTTCAGCGGCTATCAAGGTTTCCTTACCATGATCGGAAAAATGGAAACAGAAGAACTCTACACACTCCTTTCTGTGTGACAGCAAACCAACTATGAACTGGCTTTGTCTTGGGAAATGTTGAACCTAAGCAATTATTGCAATGGTGAAGAATAAAAGTTCAGTGACATGCTAATAGTTTAATAATGACATCTTTGTCCACTCAATATAGTAAATGAGTCAATGCATAGCCCTCCATGCATGTACATGGCTGCACAGGGTCGTATTATAAAATTAATGTGAGTAGAAGGACTAGGAATTTGTAATTTTTTTGTTTACTTCTTTTTTCCATTATTAGTGTAAATACTCATCATTGCATTTCTGTATTTGATTATTTTTCACTTCTCTTTTGGCCCTTTAGTTTTTCATCCCTTTTCCTAATTTGTGAATCATAATACATCATTGTCTCTTGTCCATAGTGATTTGCTAGTTACTGAAGTTATATATCATTCAAGTCTGTTTATGGAGTCATGTTTACATTTGTACACTCCCTAACAACAAATTTTATTGATCAGAACCAATTAAGCTCAGACACAAGTGATGGCAAAACAGAATAACAAACCTAAAAGTAAAAAGACAAAATTTATAACGTTCATGATAAATTCTACACTTGACACTCTTGATATACATGTACATACCAATAACTAAATCAACATCTATCAATTCAGGTTTTAAACCACCAGGCTTCTTAGGAACATGAATAAAGGTACCCTGTTGGTAAGAAAAACCATGAATGACAGGAAAAGTCAAGCAGAGTAGCCGAGCAAAAATGTTAAAATTTCATGGTAATTATTTTTGCCCTAAATAGCCTTGTTAGATAACCCTGAATTAAGGTTAGTCAGCTTACTTCAGTGAGTGAGACAAGAAGCCATCACTGCTGAGTTAATTATTGATTGATTAAGTTAGCAACCCTTCCACTACCAGCACCTGTTTGTTCAAAGCTGGGTAAAGATAACCCATGGTTAGAGTGAAATCTGATTTCAGTTCTAAAAGCTGTAAAAGAACTACAGTTCTTTTTGTCTACAATATGATGATTGGATGCTCTGAGACAAACAGAGAAAATGATCCAAAAAAGGCTTTTGAAAAAATAATTTTAAAAAATGCAGATTAACATTTAACCATAGACTATTGCAACAGCCTTTGAACTGGGCCCAGGACTGACCAACACAGAATTTCACCTTACAATATTAGTACAATGTCAAGCAAACAGGTGATGAAAATAGTGAAAAATATGAACTAGTAGATTGTTAGTTGAACCAAGACAATAAGGAGAGTTTTCATTGAAATATTAGGAGTGAAAAGGTTAACAGGTTTACTTACCGTCTCCTGCTCTTGTACTTCAAATGTTCTTTCCCATGAAGCTTTATCATATTTTCCGAGCTAAAAATACATAGAAAACCATACTTCAAAACAAGCAAGTAAAAACGAAAAACAAAAATGGGAAAGGAAGGCTTTAAAAGCCTTGTACAGTAAAATCAGAGGCTACAAAAGATTTGTTTTCATCTAAGACAATCCTAATTTGAATCATTAACAGAAATATTGATGGATAAGGAGGAAATAAAATTTCAAATGCAAGTGTGAGTCAAAACCCATGAACATGTAACTGTATCTGTGTAAATAAAATCATTTTATGAGCTGATCACTAATAAAAAAAACTTCAAACAATTATTCTTGACTGTTTCATTAAAGACTTACATTACCCAAAGAGCGTTTACCTACATTATATTTCATCAGCTTTAGGTTACTGACATCTCAAGTAAATTGTGCACTCTAATCTAATTTACTTCTTTTAATTTCATTGTGAATAGTTGATTAAAACCTTCAGGCCACAGTATGTCAGCCGATAATGTCAAGCCCTGGAATATTGTGTGATGTTCAAAAGCTGAATATTTGGCTGAGAAGCAAAGCTACAAGGGCAAAAGTGAAATTTTGCATCATAACTGTCAGGGAGGATTAAATGCATCATGTGATATAAAGAAACTGATAGAATTGTGCAACACTTAGTGGGTGGGTTTTAACTTCAAAATATAAAATCTAAAAAAAAGGCAACTGAATAATTCTGATTCTGAGTGTTATATGGATAAATTACAGTGCTGATATAACATGTAGCAAAATTATCCTTTCCACCATGTTGCGTTTTGTCATAATACTAAATTCACCAGGCTTACAGAAATTGGTTGAACTCAAATTTTAATTAACTAAGAACATGATTTAAAATTCTGCTTTGAGGTTTTGAAAAAATGGTGTTTACATTTTATTGTGGGCAAATTTATGGAATAGAAAATTTTTTTTATATAGAAATTAATTCAAATTTGGTGACCAAATTTCCAATTTTTTTAGAAATGGAAAAAAATCTGCTAGACATTAATAGCAGCCATTGAATCAGAGAGACAAACTCGGGAAACAAATGAGTAAACAAATAAAAAATTTGTAACAGTCACAGATGTCTTAAACAGCATGGTTGGTGTCATTCTGTCTCCAGTGACCAACTTTAATTATGCAGTTACTTAGAAAACCACAGCTTTCATCAGACTTAATCTTATTTAACCAATACCTTCACACTGGCTGTATTGGTAAACAATTGCTGCTAATCTCTGTGTAATCAAACATCCAGATGCCAGTTTAGCAAAATAATATTCATAAAAAAAAACCCTTTCGAAATTCAGATTTTTTAAAAATTTCTCCCAATGAAATCTCATCAAAATATGGCTAACTTAAAAAGTTTTTCACCCGACGAACAAAGTTATTACCAAGAAATTAGCATGAACGTCTTCCCCAAGAAAATCAATGATTGAAACATAGACAAAACAATTTAACCAATCAGGATGTGGAGATGCTCACAGTCCAATATTCTTAGATAATAAACACAGCTGAAAAATTGACTACGTACCGCATTGACCGACATTTACCGTCGCAAATAAAACCAAACTCAAAGGGGGCAAAGCGGGAGGCGATTTAAATAATTTTAGGTTTAAAACTGCAGAAGCTTAGCTCAATATTAACCAATTGATTTGAGCCTGAATATTGATTTAAAGGTAAACCTCGATTCCTTAACCTCGATGAAGTTTTTGAATCCAAAAGGAATGGAATTTAAATTTAGGGAAAATATCCGATAGGGAGCAGTGAAATTGGCCAAGTACACATCACGGAGAAACGATCGGCGCTTTTCGTCGCGCGTTTAGAGTTTCTCAAGTGCTTTATGCAAATCAGATAAAGTTGAAATTAACACACTTATTGCTTGGACCGAATTCAGCTGTTTAGAAAAGAAAAAAAGAATATTTCGTTTCAGAATCCAACATAAATAAGCTTACACTCAAGCATAGAATGGAGAGTACTTCACCCAAGATTGAAAATATTTCAAAATTGAATCTATTTCGCATACAGTAACCGAAAAATTTAAGATTTGCGCGCAGTGTAAATAACACAAAGGAAACTTAATAATTCCCTTCAGAATTTTCTTTTTCTGTTCATGCATCAAGAAGAATCTTACCTTTTGCTGAAACCAGGAAATGCTCTGATCAAAAGCCATTCAACTCTCGAATGGCCGAGAGAAGCTTGCCGGTCTTACAATGTCAAAACTACGGCTGATGTTGTGTGCCTCAAGATACGCGTGTTAAAATGGGATATCGCTCGAAGAAACAAGTCCCTGAAGGCAGATACGTTAAAACTGACGTTGGGATAGAACAGTTCTAAATGGGTAGGCGTCACAAACAGCACAGATATATAGTTTGAGCCTAATAAATTTTCTTGCCGTAGTTAGTGCTATGAACTGTTTTTACGCTCCGCGGAGCTCCGCGCAACTCTTTGATTTGTCGCGGGCTCAATGGAAACTTATAGTAGAACCCAGGGCACACTCAAATTTTCATTTCCTTTAACACCCGCAAATCGCGTAATCGACTCGCTCTAAGTAACGCTCACTAGACAATAAATGAAATTCCATTTGGCACTCTCAATTTTAATTTGAATTGGAGCAGAATGGTGCATTTTCTCTTTTCTTGAAGAAGGCTGTATAGTTCTCGCTTCCGGTCATGTTGGCCTTACTCCGATATTGGCTACTCCCGGAAATGAATTTCATAGCGATATTACAAACACGAACCTATACTACAGATAGCATTCGTACTATCGAATGAACTTTTAAGATTTTATTTCTTTACCCAACCTCCTTTCCCTCATTTTAATAAAGGAAAATGGCGAGTTTTTCATTGCATTTTTATTAAACATTTGAAGTCGTTCGGCTAAAATCCACATTATTCTGCTCAAGATTGCCACAGGAGAACATTAGAACTTTCGATCGGAAGTTTGTGGCTTTTAATTCGTTTGGAAACACTTAAATTTTTATATTTCTGAGTTGAAAAGACAAGAATACTTGCTGCACCGGGTTAAAATAATAGTCTGGCACCCCGTGACGCGCGTGAACGTAAACATTTCCCAGATATCCCTACATGAACATTTCCCAGAGATCCCGGCAACCGTCGACGTTTCCCAGAGTCCACGCTGAGCTAGGATTTTTTTCTTTTGTTTCACGGAAAGGAGTAGATTAGGGAATCCTTGAATTCTATTTCGGAGTAGGCCTTTGTGACATGGCACTTAATATGTCACGCAAAGGCATAAATTTTCCGAGCGTTTACATGGAGTGAAGCCTCATTCCCTAATGTGAACAGCAGTACATGTGTACAAAAAGACATATCACATATGCACCGGTTTATTTCTCTGTTTTACATATATTAAAAGCGCTCTAAAAATTAGATTCGAGTACCTTTTATCTCTTCAAGTTAAAAAACTTTTATAGTTAACTTAACAACACTAATGTATGACTAAAACTACTTAGAAGATACACTTTCCTATCACACTTTCCTTGTAATAAATACAAAGATTTTTCCACATAAAAGATATCTTGTTAACCAAAGCTTTTAGTTTCTAAAACTTGTATTGCGAGTGCACTACGTTTTGGGTGTAGGTTATTCTCGCTGCCAAACTACCTACACAATTCATTTCACCATAGCGTGCGTTGCCTTTTCATACTCCCATTTTCTTCTTTGAAGCAACACAACGCCGCTTGAAGCAATTCTACAAAGCTATTTTTCTCGGAGCAAACTAAGTATCTGCGAAACTACTTACCTACCTTTCCCCCTAACACAACAACACTCAACTGATAATAAGGGTTAATGTTCGCTTAGGGAGCGGTAGGTATGCCGTTGCTCGGATACTGACATTGATCCATTTTCTCCAAAACCATTCAAAATGTTAAGCTAAACTTTCTAAGCTCACAACTGACGTCACACCCTTCAGTGAGATGCTTTCCAGACAAATCCACCACAGCGAGTCCAATCAGTCGATGCCGCACCCGTCCAATCGCAAATCCACGGTCACTTTTCACTGCGACATCGATCTTCATCGTGCGCAGTTGATCTAGGCCAATCATGTACTCAAAGGTTTCGTTAAACACGCAGTTCAAGGTCCCTTTCATCACTCTGGTGACGCGCCGGGAGCGTTTGGAGCGATCTGGTAACAAGTACAGGCGCACCAATGGATTGGTCTTGCCGGGCGAGTCACGAGACACGAGCTCTCGAACACTTTTGACGGTGACGGAGAGGCAGTTCTTCAAATGACTGTATCTAGGAAGTCAATAAGCGTGTTGATTTTGATTCTTACATCCAGCTCAGTAAAATCACTCGCTAATGTCACTAAGGAAATATCTCTTGCATTCTATACTTGTCGAGTAAAACACAAATTTCAGTCTCGTATGAGTGTTCGGTCTTTGAAAACATACTTTAAAATTTTTGTTTGGAACCAGAACACGTTTAAATAAAACACTCGAAACTTGAGTCATACATTATGTTGCATAAGAACTTTTGCACTAACAGTATGTTTTGTTTTAAGAATGTACGATATTAATTTCAGTGTTGCGGGAACGGATTTTTGCGGTTCAAAAGGAATGAAATTTCTGCTGGGAATTGTTTCGGCGAAACAAAAAAAGACGTGATACTTTCACACTTCCTAGTTTGTCGAGTGGCAGGCGGGGATATTCGCCGCAGATGGATATTTCGAGTGAGTTTGAATATGAAATCTCCGATTTGCGAATGCGGTTTTTCTTTGGTAAATATTTTCAATATTTTATTTCGCGAGTCATGTTTTCCCTGGGAACAACAATGATCCTTGCAGACCGCGGACTATCCGAAGTGAAGTGCGACCCGTACTCTCGACTCTCAATTGAAAATTCTTCTAACTATTTACACCTACTTCTAGACTAGCCACCTACTTTAAGTGCAAATCCAGTTGACCCTTATTGGTCAAGTCGTCATTGGAATCCGTACGTTGACTCTCGGTGCCATAAATACTTCCGTCATAGACACTTCCGGCGTCAGAATCTTTGTCGTGTTCTTCACCTGCTTCCGCTTGTTCTTCAGGATTAACCCCATTGATAACAAGTTTTGGTATTGGAGTTGAGTGAGCCAAGGGAATCTCTGGTTTCGTGAGTCCCGCATCAACTTCAGCTTTAGACCTACAATGGTGAGATGAGTTCATGAGTCGATCAAAATTCAAAGTTTCTTTAAAAAATCCATAAGTGTACACTATCTCCAGCGCCCCGCCTCAGGAGTCCCGCGGACAGGATCTTTTTCTCATTTTGAGAAAATTCAATTTCTCAGTACCACAAACTTTACAATTACAGAGCGACCAAGAGCAAAAAAGTCATGAAAAGAGAGAAACTTATTAACCAGGATTGATTGTTTGATATTACAAAAAATTTTCAAAAACGATCGTTCTCGATGTATGTGACAAACAGAGCAGACCAAACCAAGATCTGTAAGCTAATTCCATCAAACAGATGGAAAGAGATTTGTTTCTTAGCCGGTCCTAAGAAATTTATTGTATTTTACAAAAAACATCCCGTTTCTGATGATTCTCTAAATTCTCATTATAACCTGTTTATTTGACAGTGGATTAACCCCGTAAGGGGACTATGCAAGTACAGTTCCTGTGTGTAAAAGGGTTGACCCCTTTTGATTCCGGGTTTAACTAATTAACCCCCAAGATCTTATTGTTTATTCTCCCCTCTAGCTGCTTCACATTTCTTTGTAAATTAGTTATGAGAATTCGGTGTTGGATCAAACTTCTACCTAACAAGTTTGAGTTATCTCATTACCCGTTTGTTGGATAATATATTGGCTTTGTAGGGAGAAGTTAGAAGTTAATCTCTTCTAGGAATTAAGAGGTTAAAAACGCTCAAGTTGGTAGAGGCTTGCTTGGAGGTTTGTGGGAGGCGATCGGCCGAACGCATGCGTGTCATTGCAACGGACGAAGAAGGACTACTATGCAAGGCTGTTGGTTAGTTAAACGAGCAGAGAAGTCACCCAAAGGTTAAAAATCGATGTGCTTAGGTGCTGTCCAAGAAAAATGGGTCGAGTACACGAAATCGAGGTTTGCTTCCGCGGAGAATTTGGCAAAACGATCACAATTGTCATTTTTGTGAATCCGAAGTTCTTAGAAAGTTGCATTGCACGGATGAAAATAAAATTATGTGGCAGCTTATTAACCCTTTAACTCCCAAGATCCGATTGTTAATTCTCCCCTCTAGCTGCTACACATTTCCTTGTAAATTAGTTAGAGAACTTGGTGCTAGATCAAGATAGCATCTTCTACCTGATAAGTTTGAATATTCTCATTACCTATTTGCTGAATAATGTATGGATTTTACTGGGAGAAGCTTCATCTTAATCACAACTGGGAGTTAAAGGGTTAAAAGAGAACAAAAGCCAAGCAGAACAATTTAAACCACGAAGCGGATGAATTTGTTCCCTTTTTTCATTCATTTTTCGCGTAGGGCTTCCACCTACTGTACTCGACCTAGTATTTCCCAGATCGCCTCCAAACAAATCCAACACGAAACTGCTACGCTTTTAAGAAGCGTGCTCTCTCACGCAAGTCTGTCATCTTTTGTGCGCGTCTTACAGTTCTCAACTGGAATTAAATTCAGCGACCGTGACCCTTTGTGAAGGGGTAGCTTCCAAACAAGGCGGAGATCTCGGAGAGAAGAGGGCGTCGCGCGCAAGTGGGATTTAAGTGAAACGGGATATCCCGCAAAACGTTCGAGTTGACACGTGCAAGGTATAACTGTGATCACGTGAGGAGCATGGTGATTTGTAAATTAAGTATCTGCACTACAAAAAAAAATTCGCACCGAGATTAATTTGTCAGAAAATTATTTCAAATTGAAGCTTGCCTCTGCAAAGCGCGTTAGTCCAACTTACGACAAAATAATCATGCTTGTCGAGGGTAAGGTGTTATTCTTCATGTAAAGAAATAGAAGGATTAATTAAAGCTAAGCGAATTAGTGCCCGAAAAATCACAGACACAAGGAACAGCTAAACAAAAAATGCAAACCCACATTTAATGAGCTCTTTTGCTACAGAGAGGTTACATTACAGTAGATTCAGTCGGTGGTCACGAAAACTGTTAGCGCTTGAAGCCTCTTTACAAATACATGCATTCACCTCATCAAACAATGAATTGGGTTGATATCCACAAGACAGCCAGGGGTCAAAGACCGGAAAAACACCGAAATAGTATCAGAAAATCCGAGCTCTTCAAAAAATATATCTCCTAGACTACGAAAAAAATAACAAGAGTAGAAAAATAAAATTTGAATTCTGGCCGAAGGTCTTAAAGCCAATTCCGCTAATTTAAAAAAATTTATTCTATCGTTGGCTTGTCTCGAGAACTTGGAGAAATATCATGACAATTTTCCGTAATTGATAAGCTTAAAAGTTCTCATCACAAATATGATTTACATTGTAATACCATTTTAAGGAGAGTTTTTTCAGCTATTATTTCTCAGTAGTGGAAGGATTAAATGGAGTCTTCGTTATCTCATGGATGTCTTGTGAGAATGTCAACGCACGAAGAGTAACAATCGTTTTTGAAAGCAGTCTGTCACGCAGCATTAATTGCGTGACACGCTGTGTACAATTACCTGATCATCACAAATCTGCGATGATCTCGAGCACTTTTGCTAAACCTACACCTAACAAGCTTTTATTTTTTTTGGAGTAGTTACAGGTGCAAATATTTCCTTGTAGTGCAAACCTACATTCAAATTTCCGAGACACTCCTTACTGTGGGAAAAAACCTTTACAGTTTAAGTGAAGTCAACCCAACAGCCATATATGAATTGAAACTTCTCCATACAACAACGTAATGTATCATTAGGACATTGTACAGAAAAGATGCAAAACTATCATAAGACTAAGTTGTCCTGATGAACTACAAAATTCCAAATCTACCATCGCATGTACTCAACATTTCAGTCTGAAGAAATCATCCACCTAAACCAAGGCACTATTCCGTACATGATAGCAGATCAGAATTTCTGTCCATCACTCAAAACTGTTAAAATTAGACTGACTACCCCCTAGTTGTTGGGTTGAAAAAAGAGCTCAAATATCGACACCAAATTTGTAAACAAAAATATCACCTAAATTCAAATGCAAAAAAAAATTATCACCTCTTAGAAGTACCAGTTCTTTTTTCAGTTGTAAATGTTATACGTAGAAATGAAAAAAAGTTCCAACATTGAATTACCTCGTTTCAGGCTCGCTTGGATTAACATCCGGTGTGTTCAGGACCCTCAAGGTGAAGCGGCAAGTTAAGGTGCTCTTCTCGCCAGACTCCTTCAAGGGAAAGGTTTCTTCCACGGTCAAACCATCTTTGCTCAGCAGCTTGCGGATATCGAACGACATTTTACCCAATGTTTTGGTGCCCTTGGCCTCGATCACTTTAACCTCAGCTTCTTGGCCCCCAGGGTCGCCAACGAGGAATCGCAATGCTTGTTTCCATTCGGTTTTCTCTCCATAGCACTGGAAGGTTTGCAGAGTGGTTTTGCCGACTGTAATCTCGCAGTAAACACTCCTCAGGGCTTCCTTCTGACCACTAGTGAGAGGTAAGGCGTCGGCAGAGATGGGTTTCACGATGAGCGCTGCTACTGAGAGGCCCTCCCCTTGAGGGGGTTCTAGGTCTGACGCATTGGCACTGAGCGGGAACCAGTTTAGCTGTAAGTGGACCCTCCCTTGTTTGACACCCTCAAGCGGTAGCCAGAGGTCCTGATAGCCAGTCTCCACAGTGGAAACAATCTCGGTGTCGAGTCGACCAATCTTGCTGTCCTTTGAAGATGTATCTTCATCATAGATCACAGCTTCAAGCTCTTGCCCCTCACTGTTATCCACAAACGCCTCAAAGGTTTCGTTCCATTCGGGATTTAGATCGTTTGAGATCATCTTGGTGCGGAAGCTTTGAGCACCGATGCGAATTATGGCGTAAGGATCAGACTTTCCCTTCTTCACGAAGCCGATATCTTTCGCTATCAGGTTCTTCGCCTCCACGACTTTCACACGAAGGACTCCTTCAGGGATTGGATACTGAAGATCGCTGGCGTCGACACCCACAGCGAGGGGAACGGCGACACGATTAGGAAGCACCACGAAGGAGGCGATGACGTCATCTGTGATTCGGCGCAAAGAGCTCTTGAGCCCAGGAAGATCCAGAACATTCAATAAATTGGTTAGATCGAATTTTAGTTTGGGTCTGTTCAAGAAAAACACTGTAACGCCTCCAACAGGGTTGTATTCGGCAACCAACGGCTTGAAAATGACTCTGAGCACTCCACGCAGTTCAATGTTAGACAGGCCCAGTTTCACTTTCTTGACTGCAAGCTTGATTGTAGCATCGCCATTGTACACTATATCCATATCGAAAATAAACTCCGATTTCCTCTCTTCCTTGCTAGGATACGACTTCACATTCGCTACGTAAGGTGGCTTGTTCCCGAGGTCGATTGTTTCAAAGTACAGCGTGTTCAGGGCTTTGGGCATGTTCTTCTGCATCTCAGGTTCGACAGTTTCTTTAAGAATTTTGTACACCATGCCGTCTACGTAGGGCCACATTTGATCAATGATGCTATTAACCCATTCTGCTTGCTCTTTTTCTGGAAAGTAGACCCAGGAGGGAAGATTCTCTATCTTATCGATAAAGGAAGACTTCAGGGCTTTTTCCATGCGATCCCTTCGCTTGTTCTTCTCGTCCATCTGATATTCCCAGCTAACGAACACCATAAGAATCATGATAATCCATGCGAAGCTGAAGTGAAAATGGCCGACCAGAAAGAGAGAGAGCGTGACAGCAAAATAAAGGAGCAACTCTTTAATTTCGTCGCGCGAAATATTCCTCAAGTTGTGGAGAATTCGCTTGTGGGCTGGTTTCGGAGCGGTAACTGTCGTCGAAGTTGTGTCCGCCATGTCGCAAATCAAACGCTAAACAACAATTTGATGTTTGTTCGAGTGCTACTTGGGAGGGAAAGTTCTCGTGCAATCGAAATCACGGGGCTGTTATCTTTCAGCCTCCCAGTATGAGACTTTTATGAATGATCCTTGAAGTTCGCACGAACAAATTTGACTACAAACTCGTCAGGTAAGGCTAAAAAGGACGTAAAATTCCTCTCCAAACAAAAGGCAAGCCACAGATTATTTAGCACACGTCTAATACGCCCAGACGAAAAATAACATGCATGGTTAGATATTTATACCCTATTCAAAGGTCATCAAGATTCAATTCCATTGTTGCGTGAAATAAACACCTAATAAGCCAATCAGCTTTAAAAGTCTAGGCTAATTATTCAACAGTGACACGTACAGACGGGCATTTGAATACCCTAGAAACCTACAGTCAACAACGATAAGCATCGAGCGTGTCCTTATATCATTTATGCTGGCAAATGTATATTTTACATTTTTTGCACGATTGGGCGATGCAAGAAGGTTCAACGCGTTTTAAGCTTACGGGCAGACTGGACTTGAGCCAAATGCAAACGCTTTTCAAACAAAAAAAATTCATGTAAAAATATTCAGATAAATACATAATCGTTCATATTGATATGACTTGTTAATACATAGATCGCATTTGTTCTCAGTTGTAAAAATCGCACTCTTTCAAAAAAAAAAGCGGCGAAGTTATGGTTCACAGGGCAAAATGTCAATACGTGTAATTGACGGTAAATGATCAACGGACTGCGCTGAAAAGATGGTAGTGCGGAGCTCACGCATGTTAATCAGCTCTTATGCGTACCAGAGCGTGACAGAATAACGCGCGGAGTGGGGAAGGGGGGGGGGGGTAGAGGGAGTTTCTGACATGAAGTGCCTTCATCAGGCCAGATGTAAACTATGACCGTTTCATAAAGGAAAAGGGTGAGGCTAAGTACTGTTTGAATCGTTTGAAAAATTGCTGAAACAAATGAAGGTTGGTATTCGCAGGCACACGCACAGGTTACGCTCCGGCAAAGACCCATACACACGAGGGTTTTTCGCTCCTAGCACACGCTCTAGTGTTACTTTGCATGACAAGTACACACGAGAAAAATCTTAACCGTTTAATATGTCGTGGAGCTTTTTGCGGGCGGGCGGAAATTCTGCTGCCATGGCTGAATTAAAAACAGGGCTTCGAAACGACCTAAAGAAGGCCAGTAGATTAGAACAGCTTTACATTTAAGGGTCATAATAAAGAAACCGATTTAGTAAAGAAACCACTTTGTGAAATAATGTATTATAATTTTATGATTTATTAAAGTCATTGTATGTCAGGGGGGAGCAAAATTAAGTTTCACTTGATTGATAATTTTCTCTATTTTTTTGTTAAGTTTTGGTAAACCGTAAATCGGAAATAATTTTAAGATATGCCCCACCAAGATAGAATTTAAAGAGAAAAAAAAAACCATGAGGCGGGTGCTTTAAAGTCATAACGACCTAGTTATAGTTTTAAGGGTTCCATTAAGGCATATTTCTGTAGCACCTCGACGGGAAACAAGCCCAGGGCATTTAGCCGAGTCGTGTGAATCTATCGATCCTTATGTAGGCGGGTTTGACTAATACAAGGTTTCAATTAAAGCTATTCACCGGACCGGTGGTCTACCTCCGCCTTTAAAACCTTTTACCGCCGTCTCTTTAGTCTGCAAGCAGGCCCTTCTGTTTGGGTTTCGCCTTACTGTCCCTTTTCCGAGCACAGCTGGCGGTCGCTTATGGAAAAAGTTATTGAAACCTCTGGTAATGTATGAAGTCACTCGATTAAGAATCTCTAGATTTAAGATGCTAGTTAGTGCGTTTTCGGAAATATAGATGGAAATCGGTTTAGTCTGGAAGCGGGAGAAAGAGCATTAACGTGACATGGGCTAAAAAAAGTGTTTTAAATAGGCAGGCGCTCGCCTAAATTCGAAAGTCCAACAACTGTGAAAAGCTGAACATGTTAGTCATGTTGGGGAGGAAACGGACACGATATACTGAAATCTTTCAGTAAAAAATGCTGGCGCCTCTTAAGTGTTCCGAGCGCTTTGGAGACAGCCAAGAAAACATTAATTTGGAGAAAAGAAAAAACATCTGGACCATGAAATACAATGAAATAAAGAAATGGTTTATGGTCAAAAATTTAAATTAGTAGAAATATTCCAAACAATATTTTTTTTTAGATGCGCAGATCCAATGCAAACAAACACATGTAGTATTTTTCGAGTAGATAACTGCCTTATCATATGTTTATTTTTATAAGGACCCTCACTTCATCGTAAAAGTGTGAGTTCTGTACACAATCAAACTCAGTCGTCAGTGCTGGACGACGCTGATTAAAAATTCATGATCATAAAAGGTGAAAGAGATGAAAGTAGCTCGCTGATCTGCATAAGCCCCTAATTGTAAATGGTTACGGTCAGAGATCAATGGATTAAAATCAATCCATGATTGGCTGAACAAGTGGAGAAAAGCTTTCGCGCACAAAAGATCGCAAGTTGGGGGTTTCTCAAAACAGACATTTGGCCACGTGCAAATAAACGCAAAGTAATCTAGACAACTGGGGGAGATGCAAATGTCCATAGAAGCCTAACAAGAATTGATCACAAGTCACTTGTGCGCCGGTAAACAGATCTCGTCGAACCATTGGTCTTTTACTATAATGTTGGCGTAGGTCGGTGAGTTATTTAAATTTGGGCGATTTTGGTTTTCCGAATGGGTTGATTTTTTTCATTCTCTTGCTTGCTCGAAAAATATTTTACATAAATGCGTTATAAAGTGTGGCTTTTTCGTTTTCCCGTCTCTGAGTAATAAAGGAATATACATTTCCTTGCTTTTGCTTCAAAATATATACATTAGAATCAATATATTTTTATTCAACAGAAAGACGACAAACCGTCGATAGACGCGCAATGGAACATCAACAAAACAGGAATACTTCATCGAAAATGTTTCAGGCATTGGTAGGGATCGATCGGACCCAAATTATCATTCATTTTCTTGTCGCTTCCATGCTGTGGTTGTTTGGGTGTTGGAATATTAGCTTCGCATGGATAATAATATTTGTTTTGATCTATGTTTTTGGAGAATATCGTTCAGAATTTTTTAAACGGAAGCGTCAAAACTTCCGTAAGATGACGGATGAAGCAAATTTGTCCAAGATAAAAAGTTTCCCAATACCATCTGTTTACCTTTCGGAGACAGAAAGCGCGACGTGGCTGAACGAGTTGATTAAAAAACTGTGGCCCTCCATCGAAGAAATGACAAAAGATATAATTAAGGAACGTATCGAGCCTGAAATACAGAAAAACCTTCCTTCGGCATTGAAGACTCTTTCCTTCGACAAAATCGAGTTGGGGCAAAAGCCTCCTTTCATCGGAAATATAAAATCATATGGAAGTGGAAATAGAGAAAAGAGAGCTTCTGAAATTGTAATGGACGTCGATGTCACATACAATGGTGATGCGCAGGTGAAAGTAACAATCAAAAATGTCACTTTGGGAATCTCCGATTTTCAAATACACGGCTCGCTTCGGATTATCTTAAAACCTCTTATCTCCGATCAAACTATCGTCGGCGGTGTGACGCTATTTTTTCTCAAGAGGCCCAGAATCGCTTTCAATTTGACAAACTTGTTGAATGTGTTAGATTTTCCCGGATTAAAGACAACTTTGCGTGGCATTGTTGATGACGTCATCGCTAGTTTTGCAGTTTTGCCCAATAGGATTACGATACCCTTGGCTGAGAGCGTGGACCTTAGCGATCTGCAGTACCCAATCCCGGAGGGCCTTCTACGTGTGCAAATTCTGGAAGCGCGGGAACTGGTAAAGTCTGATTTTTCACTGATTGGCGGAGGTGCTCCCGACCCTTACGTCATCATGGAAGTTGGCGCGCAAAAGTTTCGCACTGAAACGAAGAACAATACTTCAAATCCGGCGTGGGAGGAAACCTTTGAGTCATTCATAGACAATTCCATTGGCCAAGAATTAGAAATCTACCTCTACGACCGTGATATTGCTTCGAAAGATTCTAAAATTGGAAGTGTCGATATTAAAATTGGTTCTGTGGTGGAGGATGGCGTCCAAGAAATCTGGCTGCCTTTAGAAAAAGCCAAACAGGGAAAGATCCATTTGAACCTGGAATGGTTTTCTCTGAGCAGTGATCCACTGCATTTTAGATATACCAAGGGAAAGGAGTCCGTAGCTGTGCTGTTTGTTAAACTGATCAAAGCGCAAAATCTCCCAACCTCATCCAGGTTAGCTGTGACAAGAAAAGTTTTCTGTAAGGTATCCGTCGGAGATACAACGCTAAACAGTTTTCTTGCGCACGGAGATGAAACGGTCTGGGGGCAGTCTTTACGATTTCTACTTACAGATCCCCACGAAGAGGCCCGTATTGAAGTCATGGATGGTAACGAAAACAGGAGCATGGGATCTATGGTATTCTCTGTTCGAAAGCTGATAGAGGAACCAGAAATGGCTCTACAAGACTCTTTCCGGCTGAATAACGAGACCGGAAGTGTTGAGTGCAAGTTCATCCTTCGCGCATTGAAGACTTCAGACACCTCCAATGCACCAATGCCTTTACACTTTGGCCGGAAGTTTAACGCTTTAAACAACAATAAAATCTGTCTCCAGAGAACAGATACGCCCACAATGTTACCGGAAGTGGATGGTCAAGATGATCCACCTACCTCCACTTGCGCCGAGAGCGACAGCAGCAGAGCCGCCGAGAAAACGTCTGGTAGCAGTTCCGGTTCCGGTTCGTCTCCCAGTGGAAGCATCGTAGGTGACACGTCTAACGGGCAAAGTCCCGAGGCTTCGGTTAGGGATTATATGTCCCGGGGAGAAATATCATTGTGGCTTATATACGATCATCGTAGAAACAGATTGGTTGTCACTGTACTCAGTGCAAAGGAACTTGTGTCATCAGAACCTTTGTCCAAAACGAATCCTTACGTACAGATAAATCTGCTACCCTCTCGCTCCAAGAAATCGATTCGCAAGACGGATTTTTACGCCGGGAGTCTGAATCCCGTTTTTAACGAAACTTTTGAATACGTTATCGGTCTTGACCAGTTGAGCAGTAAGTACTTGGAAGTGATCATCAAAAATGAGAGATTTGTCCAGTTGCCCAGGAAACGCAGGGATCTGATTGGGTCTACTACAATCAATCTTTGCGAGTTGAGTCTGTCCGCTGGTGTGACAATGAACTGCGAGTTAACAAAATGAAAATCTTAGCTTAGTGTGCGACTTCCAGAAAACCCTAGCGGATGGTTCCACCCAAATGGAAGCGAGACACGATGCGTCAATGGTGATTATCAGCAACAAATACTCTTCAAGAGCACTGGGGACGAGTCGAGGATGTTGTTAACACTATAACACAAAATCTGTCGAATGACTATCAGCAAAAACAGATTTAGATTCTCTTAACTTATTTAATTTATGAGGCAAATTCGTTTTTTTCTTTTTTATCATAAAAGAATGATCTCCCTAATAATTTCTTTATCGCAAAATATGATAATAGTCAGTGCTCTTTTGGAATTTAGCCGAAGCCAAATAAGTTATTGTTATCTTGTGTAGCTGTAATCCATGTCCACTTTGTAAACATTTGTTGCACTCGATTCCACTTAAGTATTGGGTTACTATTCTTCATCTGAGAGACGAATTAACCGTCAGATTCTTACTTATCGCTTCTAGCAACGTAACGAATGTTTGCGAGGAACCAGGAAACGAATCCATTGATTTGTATTAGACGACAAATTTAATTAATTCCATCGCAAGCTCAAATAACTCGATTCAACATCATCATGATAACTGATACTATACTTTTAATAATTAGTTATGACTCACATGACTATACGTTTTATGCAATTGAGACTTGAGGAATGAAAGTCGGACGCTTCTTTGCTGTATTGTGACCCGACGGTAATTAAAGAGCCATCGCCTTCCAACAAACTAAAAAGGGGGCACATTCTCTGTATCAGATAAGGCTTGTGATAACATACATAAAAAAATCAGGCGCGTCTGATTGGTTGAAAACGAGTGCATTTTTCGTGTAACACGTGCGCAAATTACAAATAGTGCTGACAAAATTTCGTCCGTCTGAACTTTTGTGATGTGTTTTTCAGGTAAATTATTAACGAGTAACAACAGGATTTCTTGTGCAACTTGATCTAACTTAGCACTTATAAATTTTTTCAAACACGACAAATCGCACTCGAAATCATGTTGTTACCTATACTTATATATTTCGAATATATTTATATTAGGGCGTTCTAGAGCGAGAGAGTGCCAAAATGAGAAGGGGTTCGAGATAAGGTAGTTCGCGTGATCCTTCAGAGAAGCGCAAACTGAAAAAAATATTCTCCTTAAAACCTCAAGAATATTGAGAAGGAATTCTCAATGAAAAAAAAAGTTTGTACCATTGGTAACCCAAGGGCCTAGAGATCGTAAACAAGTGTATTGATGAACAGTAATTGTTATGACAACATTAATAATTATGATAATTTATAACAGCAAGAATAGTAATAATAACAAGAATGATAATGATAATGATTATAATAATTATTGCCACACCAAGAGTGAAAATTATGCGTTGATTAATTTCTTGTTTCAATTCTTCCCCCCTTCACCTCCACGGGTATTCCGACCGTGCCAGTGAGGGTGGGAAATTTGAACCTTGCCTGAGTAGGGCGGGGAATTTGAACCAAAAGTGTCAAGTATTTACAGCGGAGGTGTTTTAAGGTAAAGTGTCCACTTTTGCGATAGCATGGCTCAGAAGGAAAAGTGTAACAGGTCTAGGTTTTAAAGTTTAAATATTTAAATCAGTTGCTGGTCAATAAGTGGAAAGTTTTACCTTTTACGAAAAGCAAACCAATCCCCGAATTAAAAATACTCTTTTGACCTTGTCTGTTTGGGATTTTTTTAATTACCTATGAAGAGTCGCGTTTTTTTCCCGATAATATCCCGTTTGGAATGAGCAAAATAGACTCCTAACCAAAATTTCAGACTTCTTTGTAGAAAGCATCTCGATGGACAGGCAGCCCAAGCTCCAGCTGGGAGATGATCATCTTGCGAAATAGGAGTCGTGGCGAAATTACAAGAGTTAGTGTGGAGATGTTTACGACCGCACTAAGGAACAAAAAGATACAGTCAAACTCTCAATAAAATACCTCCCCTTACTTCCACAGTGATCGCTTGTTATCTGACGGTTTAAAATGTTAAAAAGAACCCATTTTAGCGAGTTATCCATATTCGATGCACTGTGGAAGTAAGGTGATCAGCGCTTAGCTGAAGCTTGGGCTACCTGTGCTTAATGTCACGCGAAACCTAGTTGGAGCCAGTCTATAATAAAAATAGCACCTGCACCATGGAAGTAAGGTATTTTTGTTGAGAATTTGACTGTACCTTTTTATTCCTAGGAGTGGTCGTAAATATCCCTATTCAAACTCTTATAATTTCGCCATGACTCCTATTTCGCAAGATGATCATCCCACAGCTAGAGCATGGGTGGCCTGTGCTCGATGTCACGCAAAACCTAGTTGGATCCAGTCCACAAATATAAATAACGTCTGGTTCAAAGTACATTGGAAAATCAGTCTGCTTCGTCACGATGGAGTCTAAGTTAACTGCTTCTTATTTGTCATCTATTTTTTTCATACTTTCTCTCAGCTTCTGCTCATCTAAATACACTGCTGCGGTGTACGAACACGTTACGTTCTTTGTAATGGAAAACAAGACAGAGGTAACTCGCTCTGGAGCTTTGGAAATCATGAAGAAAAATCTCGCTGTTTTCGAGACGAAAGCTGTCTTGGCGAAATCTAAGGGGGCAGAGATCATAGTTTTCCCGGAAGATGGAATATATGGTTTCGATTACACCCGTGAACAGATACTTCCCTTTTTAGAAGTCATTCCAAATCCTTCCCAACTGGAGAAGAGCTGGAATCCCTGCAAAGATCCAGCCCGCTATAGCAACATTGAAGTGTTAAGAGAACTAAGCTGTATCGCTCAAAACTCTTCCATTGCAGTGGTAGCCAATATGGGTGATGTGCAGTACTGCGAAAAGTCAGATCCTCACTGTCCGGGAGATGGCAGATACCAGTTTAATACAGATGTTGTGTTCGATACGGATGGTACATTGCTAGCAAAATATCACAAACAGCACCTGTTTCACGAGAAAGCGTTCAACACTCCCCAAAAACCGGAAATCGTAATTTTTAAGACATCATTTGGAGTCAAGTTTGGTGTGTTTACTTGCTTCGACATGGTCTTCCGTGATCCAGCGATTGAACTTGTGGAAAAGTATGGCATACGGAACATTGTCTTTCCAACTGCTTGGATGGATGGCTTTCCTATCATGGCTTCAGTTGAATATCAACAGGCATGGTCAAGATTGACATGTGTCAATCTCTTAGCAGCCAATCAGCATTTCCCTCTTGCAGATATGGTAGGAAGTGGAATTTACTCTTGTGGAGATCCATTATCGTATGTGTATGATATGAAGACATTTGAAGGACATCTTCTTGTTGCGCAGTTACCAGATTTAAATCAAGAATGCTACCAGCAACCTTGTCAATCAGTCTCACTTCCATCAACAAAAAATGATGACTTCAAGCAAGAAGGATGGCAAGAAGGAGTGCCGTTCCATTCCAAGTTGATGAATGACATGTACACATTTGTCAAACTTGACAGTGCTGAGGCTCAGGTCTCAGTCTGTGGGAGTGAGCTTTGTTGCCATGCAAGCTACCTTACACAAAGTCAAAAGCCTTTCAGTGGAGAAATGTTTGCATTAGGAGCTTTCAATGGTCACCATGACCCAGAGGGTTACATACTCCAGGCTTGTGTTTTGATAAAATGCTCCAGCATGGAGGAGTCATCCTGTGGTACTGCCACTCAGACTTCATCAACTGTATTCAAATCATTTCATCTGATGGGGAACTTTTCAACAAAGGCTTATGTTTTTCCAGCTGTTCTGGCTTCCGATGTGGAACTTATACCAGCTGAGGTAATGTCGATATCAGGAAATGTTATGAGTGTAGCCTCCTTTAACAAGCCTCTAGTATCAGCTGTTCTTGTTGGTCGAGTTTTTGAAACTGATCATGTTGAAAATTAGTAACCATCATTACATTTGCTTCTTTGAGTCTGCTAAGTGAGGAGGAAAAGTGAAAATGTGCAGGGTATAGCCCCAAATATTACAATGAAGTTATGCAGGATTTGTAGAGTCTGTTCACATTGTACAATTAAAGCAGTTCCATTTGGCAGTAAATTATGTGTTCAATTTTTTTTCAAAAGCTCAGGAAATATTCTTATGCATTTGGTAGAATTAAGAACATTTTTTATTTTGATATGAGATCAGTCGTGCAGAGCAAAATGACTCACACTTGCAGGAAATCAGAACTCATACAAACATTCTACTTAGTGCTGAATTCTGAGGTTAGACACATTATATCTGTTTTTTATTTTCATAATGTAGTTAAAAACTAGAAATTTGAATTTGATTGTAATGGCTGCGAAGATTATGCAATGAAACCTATTTAAAATGTTAATCGGACACCCTTAAAAACCTAGCAGTCAGTAGTTATACTAGTTATTCTTATTGTCTGTCATGTTAATTCAGAGAATTTGGCATTGGATCAACTAATAATTCCCTAATAGATAGTTTTCTTTATTCTAATCACTAGTCTGTGTAATATTGTACAATTATAGCATATCATCATCATTTGACAGTGGTTTACATTGTTAGTGCAATGCTCCACCTTCTGACATAACATGTCCTCAATCTAGGTTATTTAATCAGTGGCTTAACCCCTGATTGTGCATGGTAATTTCTATAAGATGATATCTGCTAGGCCACTAATGTTGCCTTACACATTGAAAGAGTAGCCTGGAAATGTAGTCTTCTCCCCCTGCCCCCAGAGAATGCACTCTAGCTACATACATTTAGCTATGTGTACAGAGTATGGCTAGGAGACAAGTAACACAGAAAATGCATTTAAAGAGGAATTTATGAAATGTTGAGTTAGGTAGCTAGTATATGAGGAGCCTTATTGTGTTAAAAGTCACAAGACTCTTTTAACCCTTCAGCTCCTAAGATCTCATCAGTAATTCTCCTTATCTTCTGCCATATTTTGGACAATTTGGTATTAGATCAACTACAAATCCCCAAATTAATATTTTTCTTTATTCTCATCACTTGTCTGTTTGATATTGTACTGATATTGTTAGGAGAAATTCTGTCTTGGTCACTCATGGGAGTTAAAGGGTTAAAAGGAAAAATGCCCCTTTAGGGTGGACTATCATATTAACTTAATTGCCATAACATAACAGAAAAAGAATGTATTTTACCTGACATTTTTGCTTAGTTCAGGTTGTGTAGCAATCTCAGGCTCAATTGGGAGTCTGTTGCTGATAACCACAAGTTTTTCCTGAGTACAAGTTTTGTTTTGTTTTGAAGTTCATACAATTCTAGGGATGAAAAGTGTGGAATTTAAACAAAGTTCATTACTTGAATGTTTAAATTACTGGAGACTTTTGTTGATCAGGACAATGCAATGTGATGCTATTGGCTTTGTACCAAAGGCCCAGTTTTATTCACAACTTCACAATTATCAAACAATTTAGGTAGCTCTGTCCATTATAATTCAATTATTAATTTTTTTTCTTTCAAATTCCTTTTCCAAGGGGTTAATATTTCCTGGGTGACAAGTAAAACAGACCCAACTTTCTGAAGTGCCTACTCCTTGGCAGGGTAAAAATTTTTTCAAACAAGTATAGCTCAAGCATGATTGTTGTACCTGACAACATCTTCTGACGTAAGGACAGGTCATTTATCACTTGATGGGGGGGGGGAGAGGGAAGGGGAAGAGCAAAGGATTTTTTCTGACCCCCCTTAAGGCTCTGCAGTATTCTAATGATCCCCCTCTCACTTCTACAGTCCCCCCCCTTAAAATCCATTAGCAACAACTGATCCCTTTTTTTCCTTAAACTGTGTTATCCCCAAAAATTGCTTGACCCAGTTTGCTAGCTGGGTATGTGTGGAGCCTTCCTGTGTTAAAAGTCATAAGACTCTTTTTAAAAGGAAAAAAGTCCTTCAGAGTGTACTATCATAACTTAATTACCACTAAATAACAAAATAAGAATATATTCCTGACTCTTTTGCTTAGTACAGGTTCAGTATAGCAATCTCAGGGCTGACTTAGTATCCAAGTGATCCCCCCTCATTGGCAGACACTCTGTTAGTGACAACTGATCCCCTCTCCTTTTGACCTGAAACCATGTTATCCCCCCAAAAATCCTCCCACCCCTCCCCTCACCCAAGGCACTAAATAATGATTGGTCTCTATAGGCTAGATAATTTTCTGTAGAGGACCCAAGTAATTATATCCAGACACCCAATGATATAAGGCAAAAAAGGCAACTTGTCATGACCTTTTACCGCTTTGTAATGAAAATACTCAGGAGATTTCACCTCAAGTATGCTTTAGGGACCAGCAATTATTTATTGTTGGGGAGGGGGGGGGAGTGGTGGGTGCTACTGGGAAGATGGCTTTCATATTCATTTTACCGATTTTACTCCACTTCCCCTGAAAACCATGTGATCACCCCAAAATCCTCCACCCCCCTAACCTTGGCCATAATAAAGACTGATCCCTTCCATGAGCAATCAATTTTCAGTCTCGATGAGGAGCATTTCATTGCCTTATTTTTCAGTGATTATTTGGAAATTGTCAGTCAGAGGCAGTTCAGAATCTGAAATCATAAGCTCCGGTTTGGGATCAGTCCAGCTTCTCACACAATCAGGGATCTGGCTGCCCTAGATTAAAGTGGAAATAAAGAAGTGCGCGTTTTTTGCAAGGATTTTATGGATTTTTTGGAATTTTTCTTTTTGAAACTGGCCTGTGCTGCTGTAACACGTGCACTAGAAACTGAGCAGAGATACGAGGAACTCTAAGAGAGCTCCTCGAGCTGTTGTGCGCGATCTATCAAGCGAGAGCGTAGTAAGCGGTCAGATAACAAGCAATGCATTGTGGAAGTAAGGTGAGGTTTTTTTTTTTTTGAGAATTTGACTTAATTTTTTATTCCTTAGAGCGGTCGTAAATATTCCCATACAAACTCTTATAATTTTGCTGAGCTGGAGCTTGGGCTGCCTGTGGTATACTTCTAATTTGGCACTGTTCCTTGCAAACACATTGGCTTCTAGTGAGTCGGTAGGGAGAATAGCAGAAAATATGAAATTGCTGCATTGGAAAATCTGACAAATTTACAGACAACAAGACCAAGTTTTCCAAATTTAGGTCCATTCATTTAGATCCATTCTTTTAGCGCATTAGATCATATCCACATGTATTTTGCGCTATATAAGTAATAAATTATTATTAATTATTATTCATGACATAAATAATGTCTGTAAATAATCCTTTCTTGGTTTTGTAACGTGTTATTATCTCAGTTCTTGTGGCAGAAACTTACTTTACCGTGTATGTTATCAAGTAATTGTCACTTTTAAACATGGCCTTGCTTACTCATTTAATCTGCCGTGGTTGACCAGCCCTTAGCTGCTACTTCCGTTAGGTAATAGTCATTATCGCTAAGCTTAGCCAGCGTGTTCTTTGATTTGATATATTCACGAGAGAAGGTTTGGCTTGCGTGTTCTTTGATTAGATATATTCACGAGGTTTTACCCGGTTAGTCCAGTTCAAGTGTAGATTCCACTGCGTCAACTTCTACTCGGCATTGGGCCATACTTTCTCTACACTGTTACTCATCTATTCTATCAAGTCAAATCCAATGCGTGTGTAAACCAGGTAAGTTATCGATCCCTTGTTTTCAGGCTTAGTTCTCAGGCTTTTTCTGTTGTTATTCGTTTCAGTTAAGTCTCCCTTTATCACCAATCAAATGACCTATATCGTTACTAAATCGGTCAGTTAGTTTTTTTTGGTATGCTCTGAATCGCACTTGATTAGGTCCATATCTCCAATATAAGGTTATTTGACATAAAGCTATCTTCCGAGTTAAACACCGTGTAGCTTATTAATCGTTTTCCAGCCTTCCTTATGATCAACATAATTGCCGATTATATTTGCCACTTCCATGTTACGGTCGTTATTGCAATGTTAGCAATTGTTCCTTCATTTGTGTTATTATATTTTTTGATATGTTAGAAACGTTAGCTTCCATTTTCGTTTTGCATTTCAGTTCGAACCAGCATAAGGTTGACATCATACGATTCACTACTAATTAAAACATAGCTAGTAAATTTGTGAAATCAAATTCAATTGCGCGAGCGTGCTTCATATTCCTATTGTGCACGCTCATGACGTCAGCAAATAAATCCGTCGAGAAAAAAAATTGAAAATGTTAAAAAACAATTGGTTCATACGTCAGCTGTGCGCTCATCGAGATATGAAGCAGCTGGGAGGTTTGGCTACACCTCGAGCAACTCTTACGCATCTTTCGCTCTCCAAACTTTTCGCGTGTTTCATATCTCGATGAACGCACGCTGACGTATGAACCAATTGTTAAGCTTACAGCACGCGATTCATTTTAACTGATTTTGTAAGGAACATTGGTCTCTGTCAATTAAACGCTGTTTACATCGTAGTCAGAAATTCTACGCTCTATTCTACGCATGTGATTACCTAGATTTTGTTTGCTACATTCTATCCTTGTAATTTACATCCTTTTGGAAAAAACGTGATCGTTATTTATAGAAAAACGTAATGTATATATGCTTGGAAAAATTGACATCATAAAGAAAACATTGACGTCACCAAGTCTTAACTAGTTCATTCGACGGAAGGAAAGGAAAACCGAAGCATTCGAAAACGTCAGAGGTGAAGCCGCAAAGTATAAATCTATATTCAAAACACATAACATGCGTTTAGCTTTTCCGAAAACGTGATTTTGTTTACGATTGTGTGCAAAGGAGAGCTTGTCGTTCACTGGGCAAATGTCAGACCAAGAAGAAAATTGACCTTTTTACCTACCAAAAAAAAAAACGCACTGCGTTTTTTTTTTTTTTTTTTTTGTGCAGGGTTGATTAACGTATAATGGGTTGAACTTCTTTCCATCTCCTTTCCTCAAGTGTCGGCATAACCTAAATAGCTCTAAATC